CTTGAATAACCACTGAAATTGTTTTACTCTTCTGTTTTTCAACTCCCCTTCAACTAATTAAACCAACAAAATAGTCTTTAAGAATTACTGAAATTAGATTTATCTAATTTAGAAAAACAAAAACACAAGAAGAGAAAAGAAAAGAAGCATTTTCTCCTGTTAATCCGAACTCCTTATCTAAATTCGTTTCAATATTATTTGTTTCCTTATAAGAGCGTATATACATATCTATACTACTTTTTGATTGATAAGTAGTTGGTAACCAATCATGTGAAATAGTCAAGCCTGCTGGCTATAATCAGTGACGAGTTCATCTGAGCTGTATCCCGTTTGATTTAGTTATTTCAGAACTCTGACCAACGGTAACAACAGCAGAAAACAACCAGCATAAATGGTAGGAGTTTGAAAGAAGCAACTTCCTTTACAAACCGACCTGGAAGCATCGTCTCAACTACAGGCGGACGGAACTGACGAGGATATCAAAGCAGCGAGGATCGGGAAAGCAAGGCAAGCTTTCATTTCTCTCAAGTCAGTGTGGAGATGAACAGCACTCAACATGAAAAATAAGATCCGGATTTTCAACTCCAATGTGAAGTCAGTGGTATTTGCTGTACGAATCAGAGACTTGACGCCGCGTCACGTCACGAAGAGCACTTCGAACAAACTACAGACCTTCATCAACGGATGTCGTCGCTCAATACTACTCAAGATCAGATAGCCAACCAGAAAATATCAGGGATCTCTGGCAATGAGCGAACAAACCAGGAACCAATTGTGCAACAAATGTGCAGGAACAAATGGAGGTTGATTGTGGACATATTCTGAGAAAACTAACCATCAAGTGACATCACACTCCAGGCCATCGCTCTAGTGGAACTTGAACGGGAAGCGGCGAGTTGGTCATCCAGGGGTGACACGGAGGAGTTCTTGCGAAAGGACATGAAAGCATGTGGGCATACGTGGAGCCAGGTGAAAACATCGGTAGAGAACCGAACGTAATGAAGACGTGCGGCCGAATCCTTATGTTCCTCTAGGAACTAAAGGAAACAATAATGATAATATAATAGAACGCTAAATCACTTCAAATCACTGAAACCACTTTCATCATTCAAAACTAGTTTCAAAAGTCATATCTTCATTTTCACTTATCTAGTTGTCTGGCATTTCAATTATTTTGGTGTTTACATCCTACCTTAACTAACATAATTAAATACTTGAACCATAAGGTCTAGCTATTTATTTATCTTACTCCCTTGTACTCTGAGTCGCTAGAAGTCATTATAAAAGATGATATGCTGGTACAACCAAGTACAAGAACTCGATGATACCCTGTTTAGCCCAATTTCTATGTATTAGAGATAGTGTAATGTTAGACGTAAAATCTACGAATTAATGTGTCATCCATGGTAACTTATAATTTTAGCTATTAACACTATTTTGATGTAGTTGTATTCTCTGAGCTGGATGGTTTATTTGCGAAGCTTTCATTGCCTTACTATTAGGCAACATCTTTAGCGCAAACTCATGCGGGTTCCTCCCACGAAACCCCAACATACAATTTATCCAAAGAATTATACCGAGAAAATTGAAACACCTAGTTGATTCCCGCGATCATTCCACCAATTCTGCTCTCCAATTTCTAGAGAAAATTAGAAGCATTCAAATAGAGGACCAAGAAATAATGGTATCCTTCGACGTCACAGCATTATATACTTCAACTGGACAGAAACTAGCAAAACAGACTTTGGAGCAGTTACTACTCAGCAACGACAAACACCTCCCACAACAATTAAAAATGCAACACACAAGCTGGATGGAATGCCTAAACATATGCCTAACAAAGTACTTCCACTTCAATGGCCAAATATATGAACAAGTTAAAGGAACACCCATGGGATCGCTAATATCAGGTGTGATTGCAGAAGCAGTGATGCAAAGGCTCGAAAACATAATCCTACCAAAGATCAAACCTAAAATTTGGAAACGTTACTCAAATGACACATTTTTAATAATCAAAAGAAACGATTTGGATAAAATTCACAACTTAATAAACAACGTCTTCAACGACATCAAATGCACAAGAGAAGAGGAATCCGAGGACGAAATCCCATTTTTGGACGTCTTAGTCTAGCGAACAACCACAGGAGAATTAGAAACTCAAGTTTGTAAAAAATCAACTCACACACACCAAATACTCAATTACAACAGCAACAATGTAATAACTAACAAAAGGAATTGTATACAAACACTATTCAAGAGAGCCAGGACTCATTGCAGCACTACCATCTTAAGGAAAATTGAAGAAAGATATCTCATGGACGTCTTCCAAAAGAATGCATATCCACGGAATTTCATCAAAAGACATCTACCCCCAAGCCAACCTATCAAACCAAAAGCCCTCAAAGAAAGCACAAAGAAAGTCGCCCTGCCAAATATAAAGGATAATCAGAAATCACTGAAGGACTCGTCAGACCTTTAGGAATTGATGTTGCACACAAACCAACAAAATCACTTCACTCAGCTGGATCTGTGTCAACCAAAAGACGCAACAGCGAAAGAAGATAAAAACAACATCATCTACAAAATAAATTGTAACGACTGTGACAAACACTACATTGGCCAAATTTGACGTCCTCTTCGCATCCATAAACATAAACTAGCCGTCAAAACACATGACATCCACTCCCTATCTCATATCGCTGCATACAGACAACCACAGATATCAGCTCGACTGGAACAACCAATGTTCAAACATTAGAGAGAGGAAACACCAAGAATGTCAGAGAATTTTTGGAAGCCTGGTATTCCAGCGAATCATCAATCAATGGACACATCGAGATAGACAAAATTTACCAACCGATAAGAAGGAAATCTCACACACAAAGGGTCAAACTTCAGGTCAAGGAAACAATCAGTCGCAATACAATGGACCAGAGGGTGCGAAAATAGACAAAAACAACCAATCACGTTCAAGGTGGCCAGGAGAGATGATTAATAAACTCGTGGAGAAATCTAAAAGCTCACTTCAGCAGATTGAAGTGTATACGCTGACGGAAAATGTTGCCTAGTAGTAGGGCAATGAAAGCTTCTCAAGTAAATCCTCCAGCTCAGAGAACACAATTACAACAAAGTCATACACCTGAGCTACACATCTTCTCCATCAGAATAAAACTATGATCATTATTAAACCCTTCTTTGTACATTTTTGACTGTCACTGCAAATACCAAAAGGCTGCTATCATCAATTGTGTAATAATATTTTTGATTTTGTTGTTGTCGAGTAAATTAGATTTAATATTCTACTAAAATGCTAATAATTCCGCACTGTTTCATAAGTACTGTTTTGGAATAAAGTAAATTATTATTATTAGTTAAAAAATTAATCCATATTCATACAAGTAGATGAAAGGGTGACAAAATCTCTGGAGGCTACCAGTCACATTCAAAGCAACCAAAAGAGATGGCTATTGAATTCATTCCTTGTAGAAAAGTTAGTGCTGAAGATGTTACCTACAACAACAATGTACACTTTCCGAAACATGATTCAGTGATCCACCTGTAATTACATCTGATATTTCACATGCTTCCATGAAATTGAATGTATTGGGTGTTGTTAGTCAATTCTTATCTGTGGTGTAGTGTTAGAATGCTTATCAGCCATGCATCCTGCCAACGTGATCTTAAAATCTCTTCCTATTTAATGAACGATAAAAAAACGGAAAGATGAGAGGGAATGGAGGCCCTGAGGGTAACAACTCCTTCCCGTAAAAATAACACCACGACTACCACTGAAAATTCAATACCTGAAGCCATTTTTCCACTAAAAATATAAACGAGTAAATAAAAACCAATCAGTTGAATCCCTACAAACCAATACTTGAATATCAATGAGACGGTTACCAGAAGGTCCTTAGTTAGAGCCCTCCCTGTGGTGAGTGTGTACTTCTGAAGAGTCCCAAACTAGGCTGACGAAACGGTTGGCTGTCGAGCACTGCCAGCTGGTTTTCCAATGGTTCTCTAACCGATGTCAGCTCATTGTGAAATCCTGTGACCAAAAGCCTATTCTATGGAATCATGGAGCTAACTATTACTTTGTCTCGTTAACAAAAGGCAAATATAGGTTAACAAACTCTTCTATTTGTCAAGATTTAAATTCAAGTCATTTAGATCCAGTTGATTTAATCCTTTTAAAGTTATCCATAGGGATAGATTAAACCATTCTCATCACTCATTAGGTGGCTGAACGACTAGTCATTTATGGACAAAAATGTATTGTTAAACCTCTTTCTTTACCTTTATCGTAGTAATCTTCCATTTCTGGTTAATTTCATTCCACATCACTTTATCCCTGCTTTTATTTTTGTTATTGTCAACGTAATTTCAACCTTTTAGTAGCACTTGAAACACTTAGTATCCACTCACTTGGTTAGTAATCTTTTATAATTCTATAGTTCATCCACTTCAACTTCTCCCTTCCCCTCCCGCCTTAAATATAAATTCAGTTAATTATTTTTATCACGTGTATACTGAGTGAGCAATTTTTAATGCCCTCTTGATTGTCTTTTTGCGTGAAATGAAGACGAATATACGGTTTGAAAAGGAAACCATTGGAAAAAAGTATTTTTACTCTGGACGAAGCTAAGTTTCTCCTTATTCAAGTACAAATGAATACAATCATTCAGTTAAAAAAACAGATCTTCTAACTGGGTCAATCCTGACTGTATCATCAGTGACACAGATAATTTTATTCCTTTGCGCTTCCAGTGGTAAACAGGGCTTCAAGATGGAGTCTTGAGGTTTTGCCCCACCTTCCTTCCTTTCTTAAATGGCTTGCTACCGGATGATTGAGGTTTATGAATTTACCGTTCGGGAGTTCAACTCGAATCATGTTCATGCTTTTCGAGCATTGCACCACCATTGAACTATTGACGCCTATCTTCTTTAAAACAAAATTGAATTCCTGTATAAGTTCTCCTCGTTTATTTAAAACTTTATTTTAGTTCCAAGCTATGCAAAGACATAACGCTGCTTGGCAAGAATCTCTACGTTATCGTTATCCAGAACTTGATCGTCTTGGTGGATTGAAACGTATCACAATGAATGATAATCCGGGTATTGGTGATGAAGGTTCTGTTCTACTAGCTGATGCGCTGATTGATGATCTATGGGTTAAAGCAATCGATTTACAAGCGTGTAATCTTGGTGATACAGCAGCAAGTACTTGGTTAGCTGTACTAGTCGGTCTTCGAGTTGCCAATACGAATAAATCAGTAGTGATAAATGATGAAACACACCTACAATCAAATGGATCAGGTTTGGATAATCAACATCGTGGAAATTTCTCGCTTGTCGTTCTTGATTTACGCAGAAATCCTGATATATGTAAGTGTATTTCTGTTGGAAATTTAATGAATGCTATTCTTCATCTATTTCAAGCGCTTTTTTTGAAGAAAACGCAACTTTATTACTCAGTCTAATTTCAAATCGTAATCTCTACAATGACATGATAAGACAACAAGCAATTTCATTGGTCAAGTCAGTACTGGACAAATATAAGTGACTTCCTTCAGGATGGAGTTTCCTGGAGTTCTAGGGATAAGTCATGACCAGTGACGTGCATCCAGTCGGGATATGAGAATGGATTTCTTACTGATGACATTGGTTGGTGGTCGCGCTACAATCACCAATTGGTAGAAGTGAAAATTCATGGGCTGGCCATTGAATCGGGTCTCAGTGGCTGATTGGTATACGAGCTTGCTAGCCTTGTAACCGGAAGGTCCTGGGTTCGAACCCTGGCAGTGGGTGTGTACTGCCAATGATTCCCAAAAACAGTACTCCAGTACTGTTTCTCATCAGTCCTCCAACTGATATCAATCCTTGGTCAAACGAAAAAAATCGTTAATCATTAAATTGAAATAACAAATATGAAACTACTCGTGAGTAGTTTAGTAAGTAGATGTCTAAAAAGCATTTCTCTCGAATCACTGAGTTGGTATTAAGGAACTATTCAAAATTAAAAAGTAACTCCTCGTGATCCGTATGGAGATATTTTAAAACTCACAGCTCAAAACTTACGATATATACATACGTATGTATACAGTAGGAATCGCTAGCCAGATCGAAACGCTGTAAACACTGGACGGTAGTTTTTCCCGTTTACAGCCGAGCTGATCAGCAATATGCCTGAGCCGAATCAATTGAAACCACCATAATAATGAAAGGCATAATGAAATAAGTCATTTTCCTGCGGTAAATGCCATCTTCACTCGTGAATTATTTGTCTTTTGTTAATTATAAATTTTCAAAAGGTGGTTTGTAAGGATCTGATTTGTTTTCCAAGCTTGACCACAGATCTATATCAGTTGGAGAACTATTGAAAACCAACAGGGAGTACTGGAATGCTTTTCCGTCCTAGTCTCTTAGGACTCATCTACAGTACACCCCCGCCGGAGTCCGAATCCTGGATCTACCGGCTACATAGCGAGCTCGTAGACCATTCGAACACCAGTGGGTGCGTACTGCCGATGAGTCCGAAGAGACTAGGACGAATCAGCATTCCAGTCCTCCCTGTTGGTTTTCAATAGTTCTCTAACTGATATCGATCAGTGGTCAAACTTGAATTATAAATTTCTCTAACCTACTTTGAGGCTTCTATCAACACCTTTCCATTTTGTGAAAAAAGGGTGCGTTCTTCTCTTGTCATCTAAATACTCGATGCGACACTATCATTTCATGTGCTGTGCTTCTTGCATGTAACTCCACTGAAGTATTAGTTCATCTATAGAAAATTCTTTTTAGGTTATTGAGTAAATAGAGAGAAAAATAATTCGGGAAAGAGATTCTGTTAATTACTATATCGTATTATCGTCCCCTTGGGTTCCCCGTGGAGCACAGGGATTTAGCAGCGCATCGTCATTTCACTGTGTTCTATGCAGTCCCTTTTGGGTTGGCTCCACGATTGTTCGGATGCTTTCACTCCCCTCCTCCAACTAATTGTTAAAATCTCCAAGATCTGTACGAAGTGGTTGTTTAGCATTTTTTGACATTCAGTAATCAACTAACTGATTGTCACTTGATATAATATTGAAATCAAGAATGATGATGTTGCAACACGCCAAAGTACCTCAAATATGAATGGGTGTTACTTAGTGAAAACGAAATATTTCTCAGGCAGTAGGTTGTATATAGCGGCATAATATCATGAAAATGCTGTCTGAGATGTCATAAAGTCGGTTCCTTTTATTAGTTGGAATAAAGAAATGACGAACATACTTGCATGATAATACAAGCTTTTCTTATTTCGTGGATTCTCTCTCTTCAACTGCGTACATCTTGGATAAATCAATTATATCTTCAAGTATTGGTTTGTAGGGATTTTTTTATTGGTTGGAGTACGAAAAAGCTCTCCAGTACTCCCTGGTGGTTTTCCAATAGTCCTTTAACTGATGTCAGCTCACGTTGAAATCCTCCAGCAAATTAATTATATGTTACAAAATAGCATCCGAACATACCTTTTACAATGATTTCAAGTGATAGATAAAAATTATAAGCAACATAATTTCAAAGATAATATAAGTAGACAATTATTTAGTGCTAAAAGAATAACTATTTATATAGTAATTAGACAAAGGGATGGAGTTCTATGGACATTCTCAGAGAATCTAATAGATGCTTTCATCTCAGTCTTTCCTATGTGCTTGCTACCGCAAGTGCAGTTGAATTGGTGAATGCAGTTAGAGTTGAAATGAGGAGCAGGACACTTGTCTACTTTTCACTGGGTTAACGAACATACTGTGTTGTAAAGTGGAATGAGTCTAGCGGCGGGAAATGTTCTTTTCAATGCACCTTTAATTCTGATGAGTTGTTTAACTTTAAACTTTGAAGCCTGGCTATGGCTACACAGCAATATATACTATCAAAGAGTGGCCAGAACTTTCAAGCTGTTCAAATAAATTCCTCCAATTCACGAAAAATAATGTCAACATCTAAGTAAGATGTTAATTTTGTCATTACGCGAACATGCCAACACTACAATAAACATGAATGTTCAGGTATATTTTTAAACCCACCACACGTCATTCTAAGCTACTGTTGCCTCTTATTTATAATGGCTTTTGCCCTTATCAGTTGTTAACTCTTTAGACACTCTTCAGTGAATATGGTGCTAGTGTATGTCACTTGGGTCGTATACACATTCAGCATCTCTTTAAACAGTGTCGTCAGCTGTTTTAGATAGTAGAAGCTTCCTTGACAATGGTTCGTCTAGTCCTCTTGTTTTCTCTAGTCGGCAGTATTATTGTTGTTGTTAGAATTAGCGATAAGATTAGTTTTCTAAGCCTACTAGACTCGTATCATCCTCAGTCTTTAAAGTCACATAATCGTTCATATCACTAAGTGATTTCAGTTCATAACGAAATCTAACTTGAAGGATATATACAAATATTTCAATGTCAGATTTATTCACGAACCAACATTAGATAGGGATCACTGAAAACTAGCAACCACTGGACATCTGTTTCCCCCTAGTTTACGACTCTTCAGAGACACACACCCACGACCCAAAGGCTAGGGATAGAACCCCACTTGGGCTGGAATTTATTAACCCGTGAATTCTAACCTTGTCAGTTAGTCAGTGGATGTCCTGAAACTATAATGAGAAGTCGTGAGCAGTAGGATCCACCATGTCAAGATTAAGTGGATACCCATCGAAGTGATTGGTTGATAACACTAACGTAATCTTTCTTAATACCTGACAGGTAAATTCTATTTCTTTCTTTCTTTCTGTCTCTTCATTAGTGCTATTTTGTCTTTACAATTGTGATATTTAACATTTTCAACTTCCTGTTCTCTACCCCCACTCGATTTAATTTCTACACTTCATTACCACTGTTACTGATTTGACCAACGCTGAACTTCTAGTCATTTATGTTACACCATCCAATTTATTTGCTCAATTTTAGTCCTCTACCCCACCTCTACTTAGTCTCTACTTGCAATTACCTTTGTTGCTATCCTGACCAAAATTGAAACATTTTAGTCAACTATATTACGTCATCTAACTCACTAACTCAGTCTTACTTTAGTTGCTGTCTAATTAACCTTGTTTCTATATTAGATCATTTTTGTATAACCTGATTAACTATCTAGACTTGACAAACCTCATGTACACACACCCACAGAAAATAATTATATTTAAATGCGATTGTACAGCTATGTGAATGAATTCGCCGTCAAAAAAGGAGTCTCTTCGCTGAACGTCTTCTCTTTTTCATAGTGCTATATAACTCGGAGTAATATTTACTGTATAACACAGTGAGACTTTATAAAAATAAATTTTATCCATAATGGAATTATACTCTATCACAGTGCACAAGTTTTATTCTTATATCAGTATTCACAGAGCACTGCATTCCAGCCCAAGTAGCTGTGAATGGTCAACAAACTTGGTCTTGTAGCCTGAAGCTCCTGTATTTTATCCCTGTTAGGGTCATATGTTTACACTGCTGAAGAGTCCCAAACTAGGACAGATTACGTGTGCAGTACTCCCCCGGCTTTCAATGATCTTTAACTAATGTTGGTTCGCCACGATATCTAACAAACTGAAATTAACTGCGAGTCCCCATAATGTAAATGTGTGTTTCTGATGGCGTGATAGTCAAATTGTAGAGAAAGAAAGAAAAAAGAAATCAAATCAATATTTCTTTTTCCTTTGATGTAACTACTTTCTGTAGGTAATCTTTAGAAATTACTCATACACATACACAAACACACACTTATCTTTAATTTTATTTTGAAAGTCAAGTTGTTTATTTATTTACGCCTTCAACTGTTTGTTTTTTTATACTTCATCAAAGGAATTGTTCATTACTTTCTCACTTATACAGACAGATTCATTCCTACTCTACTTTCTCTTTCTGATTGCCTTGTATTAAAAGCCTTCTTCTTTTCATTTAACAAAACACTGACAATTTTTAAAAACTCTTTTGTTTGATGTATACACTGTTTCGTTTTTGCTGTCTAATCTAGTCAAGTTCATCTTTGAAATAAGATAAAGAGTGAGTGAGTAAGTAAGTAAGTAAGTAAGCAAGAGAATCACTCTTCTACTACCCACTACATTCTACTTAAATTCAACTAGAGTTCTAGTATTGTTTTTATCAATCATCTTCTTTACGGTTAAATGTTCAATATGTAGGCGATTGAATACATTTACACTTTGTTTATCTGTGTAAATGCGCGCTTTTTGTGAATCAATGAATAAGATAATTAATGAGATGCATTCATTATCTATAGGGATTTCACTTTTTTTGTTGTATAAGATATCTTTCTTAGAATAAAATAGAGTTGAAAATTTTCGGTTAAGAAAGAAAAATAATGAAGGTGGA